AAATTATAAGCAAAAAATGAGGAGTTGTTTATCATTACTAGCAAATTTACAATTTTTAAAAGAGTACATACCTAGTTATAGCAGAAAATCGGTAACAATCACAAAAACTATAACTATATTATATTATAATATATCTCACAAACTGTTTCACAGGAGTATCTCGAAGGGAGAGCAAAAACACTCTGTGTGTATTCTATTTCCTAATCTAGCTTTTAAACATCTCGGCCACTTAAGCAAGAATGTCCAACATAAACAGTCTTCATAATATTTCTACGTTGAGATACAAAGAAGTGAAACTTTAAAACTCAATAGGGTTTTATCGCCTAAAATATCTTAAAACTATAATATTATTTTTAGTGGATTATTTAAATTTTCCTTAGTTAAAATAGCGCCAAATTTGAATTTAAAAGTTTATATACTACAGGACCCTTACAGGTTAGATTAAAAGTTTGAACGTTTATTGCAACAAAACAGTAAAATATATAAAAAAAATTGTAAAAACCTTTTTTTTAAGTTATAAATGCAAATATTAAATATTTAAATTAAATCGCTAGTTTTAATTGGATAATTGAAAGAGTGCATAATATTAAAACAATTCAAACCGACAATTTTTTTTTATTTTGCTCTTAAAATTTTAGTTATGACCTAATTAACAAGAATATAAAAAAAAATTAGGTTTCACAGAAAGTCCAAAAATCACCTCTCAGAAGAGCACCGTGTACACTGTTTTGAAAAACCCAAGATTCAAAACGCTTCTATGAACTTGGATAGAGCGCGTGACGTCACGATACTATTGTTGTAACAGTCGTGTCAAGACTTGAATGAATGAATGAAGTATGAAAAAAATAAAAATACGAACGATTTTGTTGATAGTCCAAACCTTTTTATTTCTTATAAAACCATTAAGAGCATAGTTCAGTATAGAGTTCCTAACAAGCACATACACATCTTCCGCTGATTAGTATACAGGGTGTCCCAAAGTTATGCGAAACACCCAGATAAAAACCAGGGCATCAAAACGCACATCGCCTTCACGTCGTGCGGAATCATGCGTGACGGTAAAAATACTGGGATATGATATTCATTTATGATTTATGATAATTAACGCACGTGATTGGTATATGAGGGAACGAAATGATTGCAAACTTTTCACTTTTGCTAAATAGTTATCGCAAAATTGTAGATGTAATACTAGATCTACACAACATCTTGCGAAAATTGTTGATTTTACTTCATATTATATACTTAACTAAAATTTTCAAAAAATTGACTTACACCATATGGTTAATTTGGGAAAAGACTGGATTTGTAAAGACTAAATTTGTAGACTACATTTGTATAAAAAATATACATAATTTTATTTGGAATTCCAAATTGGAATTGATCTTAAGATCAACGAGTTAACACGTTGATCTTAAGATCACGTTAATAAATTAATTTATCATTAATTTATTTATGAATTTGTAAAAAGATACCTAATTTTAATTAAAATAAGATGTCTTTCTATAAATGTAGACAATTGTCACAAAAACTAAAATAAATGACTTAAAGAAAAAGATCTTTTGGATTATTACTTATAATATGACCAAAATTTCGCAATAAATCAATTTCATGAATGATTAACAGCTGAGTTTTGGACTTGCCTTGTCATAGTTTGATTGTTTTTTACACTGTTTCGATTAGAAATTATCTCTAATGGTCTTCAGGTAATAACTAAAGACAATTAAAGATAATTACTAATCGAAACGTAAGAAAAACAATTAAATTAAGGCAATGCAAGTCCAAAATTCACCTGTTAATCATGCTCAGAAAAATTTCTTCAACCATCACATGTGCTGTCTATATGAACCTCAATTGATGATGCAAATGATGCATATATGTGACATACGTGCGGATTAAGAATCAGGTAGTGACTGCAATATGCGTAAATTATGAATCTCGCAATGTTTCTCCAACCATCACATGTGCTGGCTATATGAACCTCAATTGATGACGAAAATGATGCATATATGCGTGCATACGTGCGGATTACAATCACGTTTTGACGGCAATATGCGTCAATTATGAACCTCATAATGTTACCTGGGCACATACTTGAAAATTAAAACTATATAAAGCAAAGGATAATCAATGCTAGGAAGGCAGCACGTGTTTTTTCCCAGCGCTTTCCCGATCGTCCCCTGGACTGTAAAGTTGTTCTGCGTTGCAACGAAATTGAAGGTGCTACTTAACGTATTAGAACAGCAAAAAATAAAAAAGCTATTTTTAATGCCTTTGATGCAAATAGTAGAAAGTGCATAACGGAAGTTGCACGTAAATTTATGGTTCACAGTTCATGGGGTTAAGAAGGACGTTTATTTTACGCGTGGAATTCTTTAGTGGATGCTAGAGATTTTGGCTCTGGGGTACAGAACTAGTTGTTTATTTTTACTTTAAAACATTGGCTTCCTGAAGTATGACATTCCTTTTAAAAAAGTTAGTAAACACCATAGACAAGGAATAGGTTGCGTGGGCGAGGGGATTAGTAAACACAGTCGGTCGAAATATTTTTAAAAGTTTTAAGACAACAATTGTTGTTTTATTGTCTCCTAGCAATGTTTAAAGCTCCTACATTTAACCTAGGCAAGAGCTCTCGATATTGGCTGTCGTTTTTTTTATCTTATTTGATTACACTATTACAAAGAAATTTTTTATTTTTAAATTTGGCATCTTTATTGCTATCAGCATGATCCCTAGGAGGTTTTTTGGAAAACTTTAGGAGAAATAAAGTATGCAAATGAATTTATGTAACTAAATAAAAACAATTCTACACTGTACTTAAGAAATTAAAAAAAAATCATTCTTTTTAGCAAAAATATAAATAAATATAATATACATAAATAGGTTACATTAACTAGTTTTTTAAACAAATCGGTCGACGAGTTTTTTTAATTAAAATTAAAAGTGAGGTAAAATTACTACTATTGTATATATCTGAGGTCACGGCAATTGCGTGTTTTCACAGCTTTTTAGACTAAATGTATGGCCACGGCTTTATGGTACTGCCGTGCATTTAAAAACACGGCTTTTTCGTTAAAATATTAAATTTATATTTCACCATTTCTGTCTAAAAATATTTAAATATTAAATAAAAAATGCTGTTTCAAAATATCAAATTCATATTTCACCATTTCTGTTATAAAATAATTAATTTTTAAATAAAAACACTATTTAGTTCTACTGAAGTTGATAATCTTCTCGAAGTGTATGACCAAGACCTGACTGAGCCTAATTTTTTCTGCTTAGACAATTGGCAACTCTGGTCGAAGCCACGGTGATTTCCCGCTTTATATTATTTTATTACAATTGTAAATTAAGTGCGTAAAATAGGGACTTACTTTTTTCCATAAATAAAAATATATGTTTTATGAAGTTTTTTTTATTCCAATGAATTAATATCAAATTTGACACGGCCATACTGCCGTGTTAAGCTTAAAGATCTATCTGCAATATTTTGTAGTAAAGGACAGAAGAAAATTTTAATTTTAAAAAACGATAAAAAATGGCTTTTTTGCTTAACTACTAAATATTGCAGATATGAAGTTTTGTCTTCGAACGGCAGTTTGTGGTAGTAAAGAAAAAACTTTATTCTTTATTGTTTTTAAAAATTAAAATTTTCTTCTGTCCTTTACTACAAAATATTGCAGATAAGACCTTTAAGCTTAACACGGCAGCATAGTTCGTAAAAACACGGCAATTTTCGATCATGCGCGCGGCTTTTAATTTCAACTGGTTGGCAGCACTGGTATATACACAAGTACAAATTTCACCACACTTTTAATTTTATTTAGAAAAACGCGTCGATAGACGCGACTAAAAAACTAGGCCAAAGTCAAATGATGTAATATATATATTTTGAGAGAAAAAATATTAATGTTCACCTTTTTTAGTTAATAACTAACAATAATTCTAATGTGAATCTTGTTACTCAAAAATCTCATAATAGAATTTGATATATAACACGGTATATTTTTGTCGAAAATAAACGAAATAGGGCTAAAATGACAATTTTAGGAGCTACTACATGGTTTTTGTTTTTAGGTATATTTTGTTGTTTTTTAAGAAAAATGTAGGTTGTGATATATCATTTTAAAAAGAATTTAATAAACTAGAACCTTAAAATATATATATATTTTTAAGAAACTACTACTTTAGTTAAACGCAGTCAAGTTGATCTATTTATATTTAATTTTTAAGAGTTTTAGGAGATTGATGGCAATTTTAGGAGAACTTTACCAGTTTTCAAGATTTAAGCCAAATTTTAGGAATTTTATGAGTTTTAGGAGGAGTGCGAATATAATAGAACGTGGAATAAAACTAGGAAAGGTCAAAAATGACATTTTTAAGATTTTAAACCACATACCACCAAAACAAATGGACGGATTTGTTTACGTTTAAAAAGCGAGTAAAGCATAGTTTCACATTCTAAACACCGTCGAAAGAAACACGGCTTCCAACGTTGTCAGAAGTATAGATTACACGCCTTTTTGGACGTTCATCATAACATAATGAACATTAATAATTACCAGTAATTCGTTTGAATAATAAAAAAATTGTAAAAAGGATTTGTTCATCATTTTCTTTAGATATTTTTCTCTATTTAAAGAAAGTAAATCATTTAATAATTATTAAAATTAAATATTAACAACGTTGGTAAATTCGTCATATTTGACAGCATAGAAAAAGGTTATGTTCTGTGGGTTGACAGCTTGTTGTTTTGTGTTTTAGTTTGTGTATTTCTATCGTGTTTAAGTTAATTATGGAGTTTAAATACATTATTTTTTACTAAAAATAACAATACATGGAAATATCGTTTGTAAGTACCTACCTACTTATTATTTTTTTATTTAACGCTTAGACTGTGACCGTTTGTTGACCGCAAACAATGCATTGTTATTGAATGGCAATGCGCCGTCCATTTGTTTTGGTGGTCTGTGTTTTAAACACATTTTTGGACATACCTGTCAATCTGCCATCGAACGTAGGACTCGTAGCCACCTTGATACCGGGATGGGGCATGAGGAAGCATGCGATTTCCGAGAAACAGGACCGGATATGTTTGCGAAGCGAGATGAGTTCCTGGTGGCTGTTTTCGTTGACTTTGAGGCGCTTCTCGAGGATCTGTTGGCCGCCCACTGCGCCATAAGGAGCCTCGTAGGGGAAGCGCCAATCGCGGACCAGGAATTGCAGGCGTTGGAAGGGGGTCACGCCGGAGCCTTCTAGAGCTAGGCGACCATATTCGGTGAAAAGCTGGAAGAAAAGTTATAAGAATTTTGTGCAACAAAAAAAATTAGAAATCATTGGAAATCCATTAAAATGGACAATAATTATAAAAAAACATTAAACAAATTCAAGTATGTAGTCAATCGTAAAATGTTTCAAAATTATCATAACATAACATAAAAAGAGTACAAAAATAGTAGATTATGTCATAAGGAGTAGAAGTGACTCCTTTTATGGTGAGTACAGAGATTGACGGCCGAAGAGTAGCTGAGGCTGGCAATTGTACGAAGCATAAAAAAAAGCTTCTACTCCAAATAACATATACAATTTTTTTTTCAAGGGCGTAATATAAATAGGATAAGAAATAGATTTATTTTATTTACTCATAACTCATGTGGTATAAAATTTTGGCTAAAAGCACTAGAAATTATTGATAAAAACTAAAAAAACTTATAACCCTTACTTACAATGCCGATAGATATCCTAAACTAAAAATAAACTCTGCTCTGTCAAAATTTTGCGCTCGAATTAATTTTGACGTACTGACATTTGTTTATAGTTCCGACATTGGCGACTCATCATAATATTATACTAATAAACTAGTTGTTCTTTATTTCGTTCAATTAAAATTTAATAAATAATCACTAAATATTCCGTGCGATTATAATTAATACATCGTGATTGCTTTGTATGAAATGCTAAATTAATTGAATTATTTGACGTCTATTGAGACACCTATGGATTAACTTCTATCCCTAGGCTTTTTTGAGTTTTTGTCAGCCGCTAATGAAAAAGACGCACATCAACTATCTCTATATAGGCATATAAGGTATATCATGGCCGCTTGAAAAAAATAATAATTTAGATGATAATTATAATTAAGAGCATTCGAATAAAAGCAACTGCTAAGCAAAAATGCCTTATCTACACTGCGCATCAAAATTAACGCATAATAAGTAAAAAAAAATTAACTCTAAAACGCCTTTATCAATCTTTATAAAATTTTGGATAAAAATACTTTAACTTATATCTCAGTTTACTTGTTCAAGGGTTTTTCGAAAAAATATCCTTAAAGCCCTTTTATTTAATAATAAAAAACGCTCGAAAAAAAACTTTTATAAAAGTTTTTTTTCCTATAAATAGGAAATTTTTAAGTAAATAAACTTTTCAGCAAAATTATCCAAAAGGGATCATTTTTACCGACTTTGAAGGGCTTAATTTTAATTTATCTTCGATACTGTTCGTTTGATTTGCACAAAATTTTCAGGGTATACTAACAAAAATACGGTCTTTAACAGCATATTTTTTATTTACTTAAAAAAATTCCCTAAAAGATATTTTTCGAACGTTTTTTTTATTATTAAATAAAAGGGATTTAAAAATATTTTCTCGAAAAACCCTCGAACACGTAAACTGAGATATAAGTTGAAGTATTCTTATTCAAAATTTTATAAAGATAGGTAAAGGAGTTAGAATTTTTTTTACTTATTTTGAGTTAATTTTGACGGGCAGTGTATAACACAGTTTAACACGATTTCCTTCCTATGAAAAATTTTAACATATTTTGAAAAACGTACCCGTGTCTCACCGTTTCACGAAATCACGTCATTTAAATTTTTTATAAAGACATTCTTATTATTTTAAGTTAAAATTTTTAACATATACAGATACTTAATTCTCTATTTTGTTATAAATAATTTTTTTCTTCAAATATTGTATATTTTTACAAATACAAAAATTATACCTACTTAAAAAAATAATAATTTTAATTTTTTTTTAATAAAAAAAAAATATTTCTATTTTGAATTTTTGATTTTTTTAAATAAAACAACAGATTTGTATTTATTTTATATTCAATATTTGTTAAAAAAAAATCTTGGTCTTTTAGTTTGACGATTATCTATAGTGGTATAACAACCTAAAAAATACCACTTGATATATTTATCATTTTTCAAAATCTGTAGAAATTTTTCATGGGAGGGAAAAAAATCAAATTTTACCGTACTGTGTAAAATTAAGTAATCTTTTATTACTTTATATCGTAGGCGCGGATTGACCCCCCTTAACGACCCAAGCACTTATTTCATATTTTTTCAAGGCAGACAAATGCAAGTATTGGATAACAAACTAAAATGTCCGCGCCTGTTAGAGATAGACTTGTTCCTACAGAGCATTTGGACTGTCAAATGGACAAAAATTATGTCACATAATGGACATGCGCAATAGTAAAATCGATTTTTGTATTGCACATGTCCCTGACGTCCATTCGACAGTCCATTTTCACTGAAAATTTTTCAGGAGACTGTATAAACTTGTGGAAATAATTAACTAAAATTAATAAAATACATTTTTTGGGAAGCCTTTTAATGCCTTAATTACAAGTTATAAAAGAACCAAGTAAATACATTTGTCAAGGTTACTATCAGTGCTTAATTTTTTTTTAAAACAACTTATATTATATTTTTATTTTTTGCAAAGAAAGTTTTAAATTATTGTAATTAAGAATTGTAAAAAAACGAATAAACGAAAAATAAACATCTCAAAAACTTTAAAACCATCATTTCAAATTTGAGGACCTTGACCTTAAAACTGAACAGTTATAAAAATCAAACCAGTTATAGTTATTCATTTTAAACCCAATTATTTTTTGTAATTACAGTGTAGCCAACACAAAAATAATTACAGTTATTACATCAAAAACTCACCTGTAAATGCTGCAAATCGTCTTCTTGAATATTACTGGAAAGATTGTATATTTGAACGGAACTAATCATGGTGCTTAAAGCAAAAATTGTAGCACATTCTTTAACTGTACTTTCACTGTCCCACGTTCCCTGGGTATCTAACAATAAAACTGCTACCTACAACAAATTAAATGTAAATTTTTATATTATTTTTGGTTTTGATACATACCTTTTCACCTGTTGCAAGTTCGGTTAAAAATATCTCAGACCACATCAAAATACCTGTTGTATCTCTCTCGGAACCCCCTCGCCATGAAAAACCATCCAAAGGTGTGTCTTCTGAACCCAACCATTGAGATGTGTTCTGTTTAAGTTCATACTAGAAAAATATACAAAAATATAACAAAAATAGAAACATTTTTGGTTTTTTTTTATACTTTAGATCTCATAAAACGTAGGAAGAAATCCAATAAGAATGATTTTCCGTGTCTGAAAGCTCCAGCTACTGAAACAACACAAACATATCTGTCTTTGACTTCATCTCTCAGTAAAACTCGCTTTAAAGCTTCTTCATCGAGTGAAAAAGTATGATCTTCATTGGCTAAAACCACCTGGACTGCATGGGGTTTTGATGAAACATCCTCTGTTTGAATGACATCTGAAATTTAACACAATAATAATTATTATATCAGGGTTATGGATATATATCACTCCGATATACCTATATTATAATAAATATCAATATATCATTTTATCCTATTATATACATTGTAGGGAAAAGCCTTTTGGATTTTCCAATAAATACATTTACCACTACAGTACAGTAGAGTAACTGTACTATACAAAATAATATAATATAATCCAGTATGCTCCTTATTTTTACAATTAAATATTATGATTCTTCTAAAGAAGAAATACGTTTTTATTTTATGATTAATTGCTGAAGTTTTATTTTTTCAGTCGAAATTTGGATTTAGGTATATACAAATTTGTAATTTTTTTTTGGATAAAACTTTTTTAACATAGTTTTTAAAATAAAACATACATTTATAATATATGAAATAAACACCAAATATAATAATCATTTATGAAATAAATATCAAAATATCTGATGATATTTATATAAATATCATATGTTCAAACCCTGATTATCATTAATTCAGTCAAGTTTAGTAAAAAACAAATCTATGGCTGAGACTAGATATATCTATAATATAGCTATATATAGCTCTTTTAAAAATGTTGACTTAAGCTTGATATAATTAAGAATGTGCACTTATCACTTGATTGATAAAACTGTCTTAAGAATGTCAATTGAAACAAGGTATAACTGTAAACTTAAGCTGTTTAAGAATGGCAATTAAAGCAAGATAAAACTGTATTATAAGTGTCAAATTAAGCTAGATAAAACTGTTAAAAGAATGTCAATAGAATTCAGATATACCTAACTGTTTTAAGAATTTAAGTTTAAGCTAGATATTACTGTCTCGGGACAGTTATATCATATAACTGTCTCAAGAATGTCAACTCAAGCTAGAATGTGTGGCCTAAACTAAATTAGTAACTACAATCAAGGCTTATTTTTACAAAAACATTTTAAATTAAACAGGCATAACCCTATATTTTAGAGTTGACAGTTTTACCACCATTGTTGGACATTTTAATGACACAAAATACTACTTTCGTTCCGGCGATAGATTTCACTATAAATTAACGCGTAATAAATGCAATTTCATTGTCCATAAGCATTAGAAATGCAAAAAAAAATATCACTTGAGTTCTATAACAGTAAATCTGTGACACATATATGGGTTATTTTCAATGAGAATTAACTTAATAAACACTTTTAAATACCTTCAATAGAGTTGTCTTCTTTAGAGACGTGTTTACGTTGTCTTATGTCAGACATGTTGGACGTAATTTGAAGGTTGTATCCGTTTACGAGGACCGAATTTTATTAGAAGTGTGCACGAATTCCACTGACGTTACACTGCCATAGAACACTGACACCAACCTAAATTACCAATATCAGCCATTTCCTAAGCATAATTAGAAAATTTAAAAAATGATTTCGTTTAATTTTGACTTACGTTCACATAATGACAGTTTAAACATGTCATTAAAGTGATTTATACATGTCAAAATACTCTAAATGTCTATAGTTTGTTATGTCAGTGGTGGACATTCCTAAAGGTAGTTCAAAGGTATGCGCGTTTGAACTACTTTCGCCCATCTGTCAAATCTGACGTGAACATGACACATTAAAATAAAAATAAGCCACAAAATGATCTAATACGCTAAAATTACCAAATTCAATGCTAATTTTAATTAAACAAATATCGCAGTGAACTGTTTCATTTCATTTTATTTTTGATCATTTTTTTAAAATGAACCTTTGAACTTGCATGTTTTTAAATAGGACAAACGTGTTTTATCCGGACAATAAAATATGAGCAAGAGCTTTATTTTTTAATTAAGATTGGTATTTTAATAAATCTCTATTAATATATATATAAGTAAAATATGCAAGTTATTTTAGGACAAAACTTTTGCAACTAATTTAATTAAGATTTTATACAATACAAATACCTACCTAATCCCAAAAATCGCTATTTCACTTAAGTGAATATATAATTATATGGTCTAAAACATTTCATAACAAAAACAAAGATTTACATTTACATTTTCATTTAATTGGATTATTACATAAATAAAAACAAAGGTATTCCACAAGTTGTTACAAAACAAATGACGTGAGTGCGCGTCTTTTAACGACGCTTGCGTCGAGGCGCCGTATTGATTTGTTTGGCTGTCACTTCAGCTATCAAATCCAAAACAAAATACTTTATCATATAGTGCGATATAGCACACTTTTTACGATGAAAAGGCAAAATGTGCGGACTCTTTCTTTAGTTGTTTGTACTTTTACTTATTTGCTAATTGGGGCTGCAGTTTTTGATGCTTTGGAGTCTAAGGAGGAGAGTAGGAGGGATGATCTGCTTAAAGGTAAATTAAAAAAACACCGAAATTAATTTTATGCGATATCAACGATAATGTGCACATGCATGCATAAAAAAACATAAAATAAATAAACCAAACCTTTTAAACAAAACATTTTACAACGATTTTCTGTCAATTTAAAAGCTGTCGCTATTTAAAAAAAAAAAGTGTTTTTTGTCAATCTTTTAAGCAGTTTTTGAAAATCTTAATTTCCATCAATTTTGGATCAAACGCGTTTTTCGTAGAGAATTAAATTCATATTTTTTGTTTTTAACTTTTTTCAAAAGTAATTATACATACAAACAAAATTCACGAATAGGTAGCGCCATCGCTCGGGGACATTTTAAACTAAAAAAATTATATCAGACTGCACGGTGCTAAATTCAGTATACAGGGTGTTTCAGAATAAGATGCTGAACCTTAAGGGTGTGGATCCTTAGTTGAATTTAAGAAAAAAGTTCAAGTAAACCTATGACCTAATTTTTGAGTTACAGGGTGTTAAGTTTTAAGAAAAAAATCGATTTTTTTTATCATAACTTTAATAACTTCCTAGATATTTTTATAAAATTTGGCACACGCCTTCTAAGCATTAACAGTAAGTTTTTGATGTAGAAGGTTTTTTTTATCAGTGGCGTCCGTACATGATGTGGTCTAGATATTTTTTGAAAAATATAATGCACGCCATTGCTATTTTTCAAAATAAAAATTATTTTTTAAATCCCCATTCATTTTAGGGCAAATTTGATTTCTTGACCATTTTTCGTACGACTAACGGTTTTCGATGAAAAAAATAAAAAGCATTTAATGCGCATATTGAGAAAACAATGCCATGATTAAATAAACATTAAAATTAAATTAAATTATAAAATAATTTTAAAAGAACTAACATTAAATAACGTAAACAAAAACAAAAATAATTTAGATTAGCTTTTGAAAGTGGCCACCACTTGCAAGTATACATGCTTCAGCTCTTCTCCTCATATGAGTAAAAATGTAATTCGAATTACATTTTTACTAAACCAAACTTAGTCTCAATTAACGATTTCTTGAATACCTATATATTTTTTTATCATTACATTGGATATCATAGAAAAAGGATGGATATATCCTTTAAAGGAAAGGAAAATCAAAAATAATGTTTTCCCGCCCGGCTAAAATACATATGTAAATATATATTTTGGAAGATGCCATATCTTCTAAAATATTTATACAACATACAAAATCATAAAATATAGCAAAACATGTTTTAAATAATTTAAAATTTATTTAATTTAAGCTTCTTCCAACGCCCTTAAGACTAAATACAACATAACAGAAGACGATTACCGTATGATAGAACTCGTTATAATAGAATATAAACCACATAAAGCTGGTCCACAATGGAAATTTGCTGGGGCTTTTTATTTTGCAACTGTTGTGTTGGCTATGATTGGTTACGGACATTCAACACCAGTAACAGCAGGGGGAAAAGCTTTTTGCATGGGATATGCCACAGTAAAAAAATATAAAAAAAAAATTCAACATTTTTATATTTTTATTTTTTTAGGTTGGCATTCCTTTGGGTTTGGTGATGTTCCAGAGTATTGGTGAGCGTCTGAACAAATTCGCATCAGTCGTAATACGACAAATAAAAAAATACCTAAACTACTCAAAAGTCGAAGCCACTGAAATGAATTTGATGTTCGTAACCGGCATGTTGTCTTCGATTATTATTACAACAGGAGCAGCCGTTTTCTCGAGATACGAGGGGTGGACGTATTTCGATAGTTTTTACTATTGCTTCGTTACTTTAACCACCATTGGGTTTGGTGATTATGTCGCTCTACAGGTAATATGTCCATGGTTTGACATTTGTGGCCTTGAAAGTTGGGTTGTATTGTCAAGGTTGCGACTGTCAAACCTAATTTAACCTTTAAGCATGGAGCCTACACAAGGAGTCCGAACTTCATGTAAACAAGAATCTTTTTAAGATAGGGCGTTTATTAATAAACAATTGTTTAATTTGTAACGAAACGCTACCAAAAGAGCAGACGTTGGTACGCATCGACAATTAGCGCCGCTGGTGGGGAAAAAAAGACTTAATTTGTACAATTTATAGGGCAGGTTTTGTTAATTTCCCCTATTAAGTTCGGGCTCCTTGTGTAGGCTCCATGGTTTTAAGGATAGTTTAGGATGTTTTATATATTTTTTAGAATGATAACGCTTTAAAAGACAAACCTGGTTATGTGGCTCTTAGTTTGGTGTTTATCCTGTTTGGATTGGCAGTTGTAGCCGCCAGTATTAATTTGTTGGTTCTTCGCTTCATGACGATGTAAGTGTATTTTTATTTAAGAAAAAGATATTATTTCTTCTAAACGGTTTGTTTGGAAAGAAATATTTAAATAACTTAAAAACAAAATTTATTAATAAAAAAATAAGCAGGTGGTTTTATACAGGAAGTTGGTGGGAATAATGTGCAATACGCGCTTTCTAAAGACAAAAATAGACAGAAAACTTTTTATAAACATGGGTTGGCAAATGGCCCCTAAGGAAGCTACCTATGTAAAAAAGGTACTCTTGTTCAGGGAATTTTTTTACCATGTAGGTATAAATAAGTAAAATTATAAAATGAAAAATTTTTGTTTTTTGTAATTTTTTGTTGGCATGTAATTAAATTACTTTTTTAAAATCAGGTTCTTCAATTTTAGGCTCTTTATTCTCTTTTTCTTTACGTATATTCTCGATCGGCTTGCTAACTTTATCTTTTTCTTCTGATCTTGCGATTGAAAAACTGGAATATTCAAACTTAAAATAAGTTATACAAAAATAAAAAAACTGAACTTTCAGCTTTTGTTCTTCTTTTTCTCCAAAAATTCTGTTGGTTCTCACAAATAATTGTTCCTCTAAATTTTTTCTTTTATGTTTGATCTTGTTTGGGGAAGTAAAAATTTGTGACCAGAAAACAGCCTTTTTACGCTTACTTACTTGTGTTGCAAGTGTCAGAAGTATATATACTTAATACATAATACTAGGCAACACTGTAATTAATAAATCCCCACTACAAATGTAGGTACCTACCACCCATGCTAGTCAAGATACCTACAATGTAGGTCCTACATACATCTACATGCTAGTCAATTTAATAAATCAGTCTTCAACCTACTGTGGTATTATTTATTTCATGGCGCAGTCGGTAGAATATTTTGTATACATATGATATCTTCTTTTGATTTACATTTACAATTGGTATTAACACAGCAGGAACGCTAACAATACTTGTGCTAGAGTGTATAATTTATAGATTAATAGCCCGTGCTCAAATATTTTTTTGCACAAACTAATTTTAACGAAACAAAATATTTTTTTAAATTTTTGCAAAAAGAAATTAAGAAAAAAACGAAAATAACATAAAAATCCGTTTTAAATTTAAAGGGTTTCTGTCCAAAAATGGTCCGGTCCGGGTCCCTGCTCTTGTTGAACATCGATAAAATGCACCATTTTCAAATAAAAATTTATTAATAAATTTAAAAGAAATATTTTTTAATTTAATATTTAGCAATTAATATAAAACTACCTGTGTTCCGAAAATAGATAATTTTATCTTAAACCGTTTCGGAATTAATAATAAAAAACCATCTTCAGGGGCGCCCCTTTAAGGGTCATTTGCCGACCTATGTTCATATAAAGTTTGCTTACGATTTCGGCACTAAAAACCGCATGTAGGGTATTGCACCCTGTATAAAAAACTAAAATATAGTGTCCCGAAAATGGTGCACTAAAGCCCGCTGCACCATCGCCTGGTAACGGGAATCTAAACAGTAAAGGTGGGAGAGACTAAGAAACCATGGTTTCTTAGTCTGTGTACTGTTGATCGATAGTGTTTGCTGAGTCTCTCCCACCTTTACCGTTTAGGTCCCGTTCCCGTCCTCGTTACCGGGCTGTTGTGCAGCGGGCTTTACAATTTTAAGTATAAAAAATTACCATTTTTTAAGTTACCGAATAATTAAAACTTAAAATCGTCACAACTTCGTTAACAATTTTTTTCTTTTTATTTTTGAAAAGTCTTTTTTTTCATTTTATATAAATAAATAATAGCCTTAAAACATTAAAATAATAAAAATAATGTTTAAATCCCAAGCTTAAAAAATAGTACTTTTTTAATTTTTGTATATGAGCTTAAAGCTAGCAAAAATATTTTGGCAGATTTGAATTCCCCTTGAGAAAGTGCCTTGATAATGTCCGAATTAGAAAAGGATACCTTCAACCCTTTTTTAAATAAAAAATAAAAATATAAATTCTCGTGTTTTACGAAAACTAAAAATGAAAAGCCAAATTTCTTTTTACTTCATTGATCGGCATGAAAATGTGTAACTTTTTACTAATTTAACCAACTACGTATCTCTTAAGATAAGCGAGATACCCATGCTTAGCCTCGAAAAAACCGACTCCCTATATATACAGGGTGCCCATAACTAGCGTGCAATACTTTAACACACAGGTATGTGCTTTAACAGCAGATTCTACGTACAAAAATAGGAAAAAAAGTTCCTTTAAACATAGGTGGAGAAATGCTTCTTAAGGGAGCTACAGCCCCCGAAGGAGGAGCCCCTGATGATGGTTTTTATTTAATATCTCCAAAACCCTTTAAGATAGAAAAATAAAATTTTGGGAATTGTTCAAACTTCCTGTTACATTGCATAAAATGTCACCTGCCTTGAATAATTTTTCCTAAACATAGCAGCCATGTTCCATGGCCCAAGCTAAATCTTTTTCTCTAGTTGTGATTTCATTATGAATTTTTATGCCATGTAAGGTAATTTTCGAATCGATTTTAAGCGAAAATGGTAAACATTATCGAATTTCAACAAGAGGACCTTTTTTGTGTGTAAACCTCCAAAATAAAATAATCTAACATCAAATCCTGGGACAAGACAGGTACAAAAAAGTTAGGCTGGTTTTACCCTTACTTCCTATCTATCTGAACCACCCCTCATAAAAAATTAAAATTGTTATTAATACATCTTATTGTCCATAAAAAGTTTGATCAAGTTCCAAAATTTCCCTATTGTAAATGACCGATAGAATCCAATAAAAAATAAGTAATTGGTTTGAAATGTGTTTTGGCGCTATGAATCACCAATACATTCCAGTTGCATTCCTATTGGTAAGTTCCAATGAAGTCTGCAGCTTAAATTGGAATATACCAATCCATGCCTATACTTGTCTCTATTGGCTAAATCCAATAGAAAGCACCTGGAATGAATTGGTAATTCATAGCGCCACACCCATTCAAACCAATTTAAACAATTTTTTTATAATTTGGATTAAAAATAAGAGTTGATTTTTCATTCAAAAATAATTAAGATCCCAAAAGAATAACCGGGTAAAAACCAGAATTCATTTTTCACAGAAGAGACAAAAAAATTATTATAACTGAGTAACTTTATTTCTGTATTATTTTTTTGTGTTAGTGAGATATGTATTGATACATATAACTTACTAATACAAAAGAAGTTATAAAAAATAAATAAAATTACTCGGTTATAATCATTTTTTTTGTCTTTCTTGCAAAGGATGTTTGTAGGCATGGTCGAAATCAATATTATTTATGTCAAATTTTTTTTATTTTGTCCGCTGTAACCACCATTTTCACGCCATCGTCCCTAAACCTTACACATATAAATATTTTTTTATAAGTAGGTTCACACCAATATAAGTACACAACTACCACTAAGCACAGAAACCCATAGATTATAAAAGAAACCGACTAATACAAAAACGACATTAAATAGCCCTGCTTAAAATACCCCATAGAGACCCTGTTCAAACCGATAGATATTTGTATCGGGATGTATGGTGTTTCTATAGGGTGTATCGGTTTGTATAGGACCCATAGTTGAGATTTATGGTTGTTCTATAGGGATATCCACCATTGATTTATTTGCTATCGGTTTCAATGGGGAAAATACACATAAATCTAGAAATTAGTTTTTTCCCTATAGGACCCCATAGGTTTTAATAAAATTTTGTCAAATGTTTTATGGTTGCTCTATAGGGATATCCCTATATATCCTTCATTGAGTTATTTTCTATCGGTCTCAATAGGGAAAATGTAAAAGTTATGGTGTGCCTATAGGTAATTTCCTATACATTTTCTATCGGGCTGTATCCGGAAAAAAACATGGACAAATGCACATATTGAATCCGGTAGCGCCCGATAGATTATTTTGTATAGGTCTCTATGGGGTATTTTAAGCAGGGAGCGTCCAAAGACTTGTTTGTTTCTTTATGATGGCGTCTCAACCATTTGAACAAGGACTGCGTACGTTGGTTTTGCGCAGCTACACGAGAGCCCTCTTGCGATATTTTGTATTGGGATTACTCAATTTGCAGATTCCTTTTTAGAATCCCACACTGGGGGACTTTTCCATCATGGAAAATACCAGTAAAAACCAATTTTTGTTTTATATCGCTCCCAATTAAACCCAGTAAGTCCAATTGATCCTATTGATACCAACCAATACTTCAATTGGTTTCTATAAGGAATTAATCGGTCATTTACAACAGGGTTCACGTTTCTATCCTGAACGGTTTTGTAGATATTAAATAAAAACCATCTCTTTTAGGGGTTGTAGCTCCCTTAGAAAGCACTTCTCAACCTATGTTTATGGAATTTTTTTCTTATTTTTGTACGTAAAATCTGCTGATGCACGTTAATTATGGGACACCCTGTTTATACGATTACGATAACGATTGCGATTCTACATTCAATAATCGCAAGATTACAAACACAATTACGATTATTATTTAAAAAAAAATATTTCCTTAAAAAAAGTGATAGATATTAAATTTAAAAAAAAAAACAAAAGATTAAAACAAAAAAGTATAGTACCATAGGATAAATCGTAATCGTTGCATCACTACTTAAAATTATTAACAATTATAAAAAAATAAACAATTTATTGTTAAAAATATGATTTTATACAAAATTTTAACCAGGCAAAAAAGCTTTAAGAAAATTAACAAGCTTTAAGAAACGAAAAAACCTTTTGGGAACAAAAAAGAACCTAAACCATAAAAATCAACATTTAACCTCATAATTTCCCCTTCCCTAGGAACGCCGAAGACATTCGCAGGGACGACCAGGATCTGCAACCCTCCTCGCACAACGTCTTGACCCTGGACGGCGAGGTGATGGCCGTGAACGGCAAACTCCTATCCGGCCACACCTACGAAGAAATGGACATCGACCAGATGTCAGTTTGCTCGTGCAACTGTCTCGGCTTAAACCACGGCGACAACCAAGAGCTCCTATTGGAAAGCAGCTACCACCCGTCACAAAGCGCCATTTCCGGCAACTTGAAAATCAAGCGGGCATCCGTTTGACACACGCATAGTTTGGAGTAGGGGGCCAATGAGATAGAAGGCAGTGAGCGGATCGGGTTTGATGGGATTTAAATTATTTTAACGTAATTTAGGTGTATTTTGTGTATACAGGGTTTAATTTATGTGATTTATAAGTATTATGTGCCAAATATTAACGGTATTAGATAAATATATAAGTTTTTGTACATATTTTTGTTAGCTATATTGAAGTTTATTAAAAATATAGCCCTTTTAGCTAATAACAAATATAGGCAATGTTCTTATAAAAATTCAATCTTTTCTAAATAAACAATTTTATTACAAGTAACAAATACTATTAAACATTATCATAAAACTTTCTTAATTGTTTTATTACCTCTCCATTGTATCCTGATAGAGAAGGTTTTCCCTTTTTGTATTCACAGCTTTGGAATAATTTTATTTTTTCGCTTTGGAACCAAATATTTTTGTCTTTACTGTTCAAATCCAGTGTGTTTAATTGTAGAACGCCAAAATGAAACCAGGAGCCGTTTGTTTGAACACACTGTAAGGTGACAGGGGTGGCAAGAGATTTAACATCTTTCTAGAATAATAAATACTTATACATTAAAAAATTGCCAATTTTTTAAAAATATTTTTTGTGGTTATAACGGTTTTATTATTAATTAAACATTTTTCTGTCTTGCATTTACCGTTTTTGATATTTAGAAAAAACTTTCTTTTTTGAGTTAACTCAATTGAGACATTAATATATTCTAAGCAATTTATGTCTAGTTCTCTGGTAAATAATTTGAATTATTGTATATGAAATAACAATTTGACAAGGTCAAAAAAGTTCCTCTCCATGAAAAAAGAAGAAATTTTATTATTTAAACCAAAAATTTCAAATTTTTTTTTATAATATTATTAAATAAAAAGAGAGAATATTTTTATAATGTTAAAAGATACAAACGCATTAGTATTTAAAATTATGTATACAGTGTGACCATTTGTTTGCGACTCACCCCTGTAAAATCTTTATTTATTTAAAGTGTATATCTTGATAAACTGTATTTTTGGAGCAAAAGATGCCATATTAGTACAAAATACAAGGCCTACTATGTCAGTTTTTAAGAGTAGATTTTTAAGAATTTATATTAGAGATTTTTTAAACAAAATCTAAGCACTGCACTGGATTCTCCACCCTTTAAAACGACCTTTTACTAAATTTTATTGAAAAATTTTATGTAGAAAAATGCACAAAAATAACTACAAAAATTTATTCCGTCAAGTTATCCATGAAAAAACATTGAAATAAAATTAAACTAATAGTAACACAGTACTATTTCTTTAAGTTTAATTTTATTTCAATGTTTTTTATCATGGATAACTTGCCGAAAATGCACCATAGAAACCAATAAAAAAAATATTTATGGGTTTCTATCGGGCGCAATATGTGCATTGGCATAGGTACATCCTTATACAAACCAATAGACTTTCTAATTGCATATCCCGATAGAAAACCATTACATTTTTAGGAAATTCCGTATAGAAACCAATAAAAAAATATATATATGGGTTTCTATCGGGCGCAATATGTGCATTGGCATAGGTACATCCTTATACAAACCAATAGACTTTCTATTTGCATATCCCGATAGAAAACCATTACATTTTTGGGAAATTCCGTATAGAAACCAATAAAAAATATATATATATGGGTTTCTATCGGGCGCAATATGTGCATTGGTATAGGTATATCCTTATACAAACCAATAGACTTTCTATTTGCATATCCCGATAGAAAACCATTACATTTTTAGGAAATTCCCTATAGGAAATATATTGAAATAATATACCAATAAATCTAACAAGTATTTATATTGGAATTCCCAACACAAACTCACTTGGTCAAAAATAAATAAATTTTTAGTAAATCTTCCAGTAATTTTTACCAATCAAGATTTTAAATACACGACCAATAACCGTAGAATTATCGATTGGTACGCCCTCTCCGAGGGCCACGGCGTAAATTTAAACTGCGCAGTTTAAATTTTATCGTTAACGGTCAGTATAGTTCTTCATCTATGGTGTAACCTGTCGATGAGAATTCAGCAATTGCTATTATATATTATATTTCTATTATATATTAATATGGCAAGTGGAATAATCAAGAAGAAATCTAAAAAACCATACAAACAATACCTACAACCGGGAAACTTAGAACATATGTGCTCTAATGTTAAAAAACGGCTGGAAAAAAGGCATTTTCCATATATATCTTCTCAAGGTAAATTGAATAGAAAATTTACAGGGTGATTTTCATTATTTTTTTTTTACATAGAATCATATAATCCAAGCGAAGAACAATCAGTAAGTCCTGCCAGGTCCGACTTTGAAAGCTACGGGGATTTAAAGAAAAAAACAACAAATGAAAATACTTCTTTTAATAATAATGATCTGTGTGATAGTTACATGTGGAATAGTGACAAAAATGGTGATATTGATAACAATGATAATACAGATGATATTGATATGTGTAATAACAGTACCAATAGCACATATGATAATAATGACCTTGATCTTGGCAATGAAGACAAAAATGGTGATATTGATAACAATGGTAATACAGATGAAATTAATATGTGTAATAACAGTGCCAATAGCACATATGATAATAGTGACCTTGATCTTGACAATGACAATACAGTTTATACCGCTGACCAAATGTGCAACAATGATAATAACATCAATGGCAACATTTTTCAAAAATATTCTGATTTAAATGATACTATGTTTGAAAAAGCGGGATTAACAAAATTTGATGTGCTCGCTATGATTTATTCACTATCCCTTAAACATCAGTTATCTAATACAGCTAGAGAGGACATTATTGAATTATTAAAAGTCTGCGCCAACTTATGCAACGACGACGTATTTCAATCGTCAAATTATTATATGGCAAAATTTTTTGAACCATCAAGTCAAGTTTCTAACTATATCTTTTACTGTGAGAATTGTAAATCTGCTCTCACCGATCCCTTGGTAAAAGAATGCGTTCAAGAACAGGTTGTGCAATGTCCAAATAAAAAATGTAATAAAGAGTACCAAATTTCTCTATCAAAAGATTATTATTTTATCATAGTCAACACTACGGATCAAGTAGCTGATGTATTAAGCCAAAGTAATGTTATAAATGATATAAAAAACCACAGAAAACAAGAAAGTGGCTTCATAAGCGATGTGCAAGACGGAACGATTTATAAGGACTGCAAGAAAAAGTTGGATTTTCATTTGACTTACAGCTTTTCCATTGATGGGGCACCAATTTTTAATTCGTCAAAAAGATCCATGTGGCCTATTCAGCTTCTCTTAAATGATCTACCACCAAAAACACGATTTCGCAGTTTGATTTTTGCTGGTGTTTGGGTAGGTCGTGGAGAACCCAATAACCATATGATGAACAGGATCATGAGCGCATTTAGTACAGAAGCCAAAAGATTATATGAAATTGGTGTCAACATAAAATTGGAAAGCGGTGAAACTCTAAGTGTAAGGCTGGTGCCACTTTTATGTTCAGTGGATTCCGTAGCCAGACCAGTTATACAAAACCGACTCCAATTTAACGGGTACTTTGGCTGCAGCTGGTGTTACCAAACTGGCACAGCAGTAAAAAAGCAAATTAAGTACCCATTTGAAAAAAATGGAGCAATACTTCGTAGTGCAGAAAGTCACATGGAAGATTTACAACAGGTAATTGAAAGTGGATTTAAAAATACAGTTAGAGGGGTAAAGGGACCCTCTTCTATTTTGAACTTACCTTTTTGCGATCCAATTTGGTCATTTCCATTGGACTATATGCACGGTGTATTATTAGGTGTAGTTCGTCAGTTATGGGAGCTATGGTCAACATATACCATAGAAACTAAACATACGTTTTATATTGGAAGCCCAGCTAATTTAAGTAAAATTAACGACAGACTTATGAATATAAAACCTCCACACGAAATTCATAGACTACCCCGCAAAATTACCGAGAAAGGGAGGTGGAAAGCCAGCGAGTGGCGATCTTGGTTTCTATTTTATGCCTTGCCGTGTCTCTCTGATATTTTAAAAATAAAATATTTAAAGCACTTCGCTTTATTAGTAAAATCGGTCTTTATATTATTGCAAGAGAAAATTTCTATAAGTGAACTTGACAAAGTAACGAAAGATATGCAAAAATTTGTAAGGAAATTTGAAAAATATTACGGTGTAAGTTCCATGACATATAATGTACATTCACTGCTCCATATAAGTGAAAGCGTGAAACGTACAGGACCACTTTGGGCTACTAGCACGTTCCCATTTGAATCACGTATTTTTAACATTAAACAACAGGTTAATGGCCCTAACGGTGTAACCGAACAAATTTCCAAAAAAATGTACAACTTAAATACGCTTTTTACGAAAATTAGCAACAATCAGGATTTAACTGAAAATGCTAAGATTTATAGTATAAATTTATACACTGAAAACCGACTGAATTATGTCACAAAATCGAACGATGTGTTATTCTTAGGGCACGGAACTTTGCACCGCAATTTGGAATTAAATAGCAGCTCTGGTATGTCAAGTACCAGTGGCATTTCTTATAAAAGATGTATTTTTAATAAAACCCTAATTCATACTATAGAATATCAAAGAGCTAAACGAACAAGTGACTATTACGTGGAAATTAACACAGGAGATATTGTACAAGTTTTAAAACTTATTGTAGTTAATAAAATTAGTTATATGTATGTGAAAAATGTAAACTGTTACAAGTTAATGTGCGAAAATGTTCAATTGCCTCATATTTTTGAAGTAGAATCTCTAAGCGAATATGAACATATGATACCAATTGAACATTTTACAAGAAAATGTATTTATGTAAACATTGGAGAGAAGTCTTACATCTGTCATTTTCCAAACAAAAATGAAGTTCAATAAAACAATTATATTTTATTAAAAACCCCAAATATATTAAAAATAAAATATCATTCAAAATAAAACATTAAACTAAACAAAATATTTTTTTGCTCCCTAGTAGTTGTGTTTAGCCCTAAAATTAATTTATTTATTGCAAGCACTAATGGTTATTTATATTTACTTACTCATTTTTCCTGGTACAATTTGTTGTTTTGATTATTGACGGTGGTCAAAACTGGCGTATCCTCGCTACTGTCCTCGTTACTGTTAACGACGACCTCCTCATTCTCAATGACGTTTTCCTCATTCTCTATGACGTTTACAACTTTTAAAATCTTAATATTTTCAATACCTAAAATTATATTTTAATATATCCGTTTTTTGAGGCTAAGCATGGGTATCTTTTTTATTTGAAGAGCTACAGGGTCCATGAATTTAGAAAAAAGTTACGAATGTTCATGCCTATAAATGATCTAAAAAGAAATTTGACTAATCATTTTTAGTTTTCGAGATATCGCAAAAAACGAGAATTTGTACTTTTTATTTTTTTATTTATTTTTATTTAAAAAGCTTGAAGGTAGCCTTTTCTAATTCAGACATTTTTATTTTTTTAAGGGGAATTTAAATCTGGCAAAGTATTTTTGCTAGCTTTCAAAACTCCAGGGATAAGATAAAGGCGGGTTCTCACGGATCAAGTTTAGTTGATCAATTTAAGTTATATATATATGTATATATATATATATATAGTAAAACTTAATGTAAGTACGTATTTTTGACACTGTTGCGTTTTATTTAACTCACCTTTTTGTTTTTGCGCTGGTTGTCTTGGCGGCCTAAGAATGTCTTGTATTTTTTCAGCTATTCTATTATTTATGTTGCCTGTTACAGCTTGAATCCTTTCAGGCGGTTCCCCGCGTTCATTCATTCTAAACGCGACTATATCTATAAGAATTATAAAGAAAATTATATTTTTATTAATGTAAGAAATATTGCATTGAAAGCAACCGATAAAATCGGCCTACCGATTTAATCGGTTGGCCGATTGCCTTTCAAACGCAGTTAGCAAATATATTTGCTACTGCCTCACCCGCTATAGCGTATTTTTTTAACAACATTAAAGTTTGATCCAATATATTTGATGTACAAAAAATACGCTATTGCCGGTGAGTCAGTAGCATATATATTTGCTAATTGCCTTTAAAAGAACTGCTCCACAAGTACCGGCTTTACATCTAAGCATAAATTGAATTATGTTATCAGATAAAATAAAAATTAAATACCTACCATGAATAGCCATTAATTATCTTTGTGCTGTATAATTAGCCATTAATTATCTTTGTGCTGTCAAGTGGGGGTTTCGCTGGTCCCTTGACTCTATTGCTAGCAATACCTGTCACCGAAGATTGGCTTAAGAGGTTTTGCCCGAAAACAGCAACAGCTATTTCTTTTATGAATAAAGAGTAGTCTTTTCTGATTGCTTTACTGGCAGCTGAATCGTATATTTGGCAGGGCAACCAGACATCTCTACCTAAATAGACCTGAAATATTAAATTGAAGAAAAACAAATTTGTTTTAATTATATTACTTACATTTCCATTTACCCTATCGCCTACAGCTACTTCCTTCTCTTCTTGTTGATTTACAAACTTTGTAAGAACCAATTCTAAAAAACATTTGTTTTATACAATAATTATACCTGTCTAATAATATTTTTCCATACCTTTCATAACATCAATAACTTCCAACTGCAAAGATCTGTTCAGTTGTCTTAGATCTTTAATTTCTTTTTCAAATTCTTTTTGTTTTTTTTTTAGCTCATTAATTTCCAACTGCAGCTTATTGTTTTCCTTGGCCTCTGGTTTTAAGGTTCTAACCTCATTTCTAACAGAACAGCTTTGTTCACCAATAACGTTGATGTAGTTCTCTATACCTATTGCATCCGCGGTTTTATTCGTTTTTTTCTTGGGGGGAACTGCTGCTTTCTCATCCTGGAATTTAAGTAATACAATTTGTTTCATATAAGTTATATGATATAACTGAAGAGAAATACACTCACAGACAAAAATATGGCACATTTTCTGGTATCACCTTTATTTATAGATTGCCTTCCTTTATCCCTTCCTCCCGTAAAAAATGAACAATACGAAAACCGTAGTGCTGCTTATAGATTAGGGTACGGGAATCCATAAACACCACTACGGTTTTCGTATTGTTATTTTTTTACAGGAGGAAGGGATGAAGGAAGAGGCAATCTATAAATCAGGCTTTACTTGAAAATAATTTTAATTATTTAAGTAAATTTATATTATTAGTTAATGGAATTTATCTAGTAGGCGGATATGTTCATGTAATATATTTATACGATTTTTTGTAAGTAATTTAAGAAATATGTAAGTCACTATTAAGTCGTTTTTTCGCGTAAATACTATGAAATACAACGGTTAAATAAAATACCAATAACAAATGCACCAATTAAACTGCGCAATTTTGACACTTTTTCACCCCTTCGAAGCATACAAAAAAATTAAAAACAAAAGTCGAGGGTTTAACCACCCTAAAATATTGTTGAAAATTGCCAGACAATCGACAAAAAATATTTCACATAATTTCCGAAATTGCTAGGGATATCACATCCTTGACAAAAGTAAACCCGATTTTATCCAAAATTATTAAATTCCAAGACTTTTCGGACTTTTCCTGAGTAATCTACAAACCCCGACTTAAAAAAGCAATATTATCTAAATTTGTACTCACTGTATTATCCTCATCCACAGTACTGTACTCTAGTTCATCTAAAAGCTTCTGTTTGTTAGGCATTCGAAATCTTTTAGCAGTTCCATTTCTAATTGCCTCCTCTTCAGTTTCTAAAAAGTTACACTTGAATTATATTTGTGACCCAATTATATGAATTTTAGTTCAGACGTTGCAAAATACCCATGGGTAGTACCTAAGAGTAAATATATTTATTGGAAAACCCAAAAGGCTATCGACTAAGGTATTTCTGCCTTACCCATGGGTATTTTTAAAAATACATAGGTACAGGGTGGTCCACGTAAGGTGACCCATATACTTATCTCAGAAACTACAGAAGTCACTAAAAATTGTAAGAAACAAATATTCACGAAGTAAAAAATATTTTTAAAATATTATATTTTTATTTATACAGGGTGTTCGGTTTTCCTTGGGACGATACCAACTTTCTTATTTTCAATGGAACACCCTGTATTTTTTTTCATTCGCTAAAAGTTAAAAATAAACAACTAAAAGTTATTATTTTTTTTATATTATGTAGTATCCATCTTTTAAATAATAAGTAAGCTATAAGTTAACTTATAGCTTACTTATTATTTAAAAGATGGATACTACATAATATAAAAAAAATAATAACTTTTAGTTGTTTATTTTTAACTTTTAGCGAATGAAAAAAAATACAGGGTGTTTTCTATGCCCCGTTGAAAATAGCGATTTTAAAAGTTTAAAATCTTGTTTTTATTCAATGGAACTCCCTATATAATTTTGCATAATTGAATAGAATAAGTAATTTCCTTTCTTTTCATATATGTATGTCGTATACCTAAATCTAATATAAAAAAAAATATTCGCATTTTTACAATTAGTAGCTACTATAATTGTAAAAATGCGAATATTTTTTTTATATTAGATTTAGGTATACGACATACATATATGAAAAGAAAGGAAATTACTTATTCTATTCAATTATGCAAAAATATATAGGGAGTTCCATTGAATAAAAACAGCTTAGTTAAATTTTCATTATTCAAAGAAAACACCCTGTATAATATTTTCCAAAATATAAATTAATTAACTAATATCTTACTTATTATTAAAGAGATGAATACTACATAATATAAAAAATAATAACTTTTAGTTGGTTATTTTTAACTTTTAGCGAATGTCTACATTTTAATAAATCCTAATTTTACTAAAAAAGTATTAACATTTTCTTAATTAATATATTTACAAAGTATACCTAAAAGAGTGTGTAGAATCCAAAAATGCAAAAAAATACAGGGTGTTACATTGAAAATAAGAAAGTTGGTATCGTCCCAATGAAAACCGAACACCCTGTATCTTTGAATTTCGTAGAAGATAAGATATACTAGGTACCTACTATAGTATATATATATACTTTTTCTTTTATATAAAAGCAAATGTACATTGTTGTATTGAACTAATTAAAACAAAATTAAACAATTATAATACGATAGGTATTTTACTACTTACCACCTGTACTAATTATGTATGCCCTATAGTATTCATTTTGATAAAGAACACTATATGTTTTAGTGGGATTGTAATCGTTTATATTAAACCGTTTTATTTTCCCTGGTGTTACAGTGGCGACCACGTTGTCCTTAACATATTTTACATAAACAAAGGGCTAAAACAATTGGTGTTTTAATTATAAGTTATAGAATTTGACATTTTAAATATTACCATGATTAAAATGTTTTCTATAGTTTCTTAGTTGTTTTTTACACAGACACAGACACTTTTTCTATGCACAGAACTTAAGCGTACCTAAAACAATGGCGGAAACACGAAACAACTGCGTCGTTTAACTGCGTCGTACGTGGGAGACAAGGATCCCCTCCATACAGACCACGTGACGTTAACAGCGCCACAGTTGCTATAATATGCCACCGTCTGCGTCCAATCATTGTACTTTAATTAATCGGAAATTCCCCATATAAACACGTTTCGTTACACCAAAATTTCGTATTGAATTGGGAAATCCAAATACAGGATTTTCCAAAAAGAAACCAAAGGACACCCTAAGAAATTGTATTTAGTTGAGAATTAATCGGAAATTCCACATACAAACACGTTTTTTATTGAATTTGGAAATCCCAATACGGGTTTTTCCAAAAAGAAACCAAACGACACCGTAAGAAATAGCTGGTAACTAATAGGAAATTTCCCATACAAACACGTTTTGTATTGAATTTGGAAATCCAAATAGGTACCTACGGGTTTTTCCAAAAAGAAACGAAACGATAGCATTTAGTTGGAAATTAATCGGAAATTCCCAATAAAAACACTGATTGTTTTGAATTGGCAAATCCAAATAGGGGTCTTTCCAAAAAGAAACCAAAGGACACCATAAGAAAATGCATTCAGTTGGGAATAATTCGGACATTCCCCATACAAACACGCTTTATATTGAATTGGGAAATCCAAATACGTTTTTTTCCAAAAAGAAACCAAACGAAACCTATAGATTTAAACTCTAAGTGGGATTACAGATTCATACCAATAGACGAATCTTTTGCTTCCCATTTGATACCCATCAACCGGATTCAACCCCATAAAAACCTATTCAATTTCATGTTGGTTTCAATTGGTTTGTAAGGGTCATTTTCGGCAGGATATTCGTCAATTGACAGAATACATTTTTGTAGTTATTATTGTGCATTTTTCTACTTAAAATTTAGTAAAAGGTCGTTTTGAGGGGTGGTGAATCCAGTGCCGTGCTTAGATTTTGTTTAAAAAATCGCTAATATGAATTCTTAAAAATTTACTCTTAAAAACTGACATAGTAGGCCTTGTATTTTGTACTAATATGACATCTTCTGCTCCAAAAATACAGTTTATCAAGATATACACTTTAAAACAAATCCGGTTAAAATCGCACAATAAATAAAGATTTTACAGGGGTGAGTCGCAAACAAATGGGTCACACTGCATGTATCAAATTACACGTCTTAAAAAATTAAACAAAAATCCAACAAAGCTGGGATAGGAAGTCAGCCAAGAATTTTTTGCGCAATTAAAATAAACAAGTAAACAAAGACATCTATTATTATTATTATTATACTAATGTAAATTATGTTTGTAATTTTTATAATAAAATTCTATATTTAATTGTTACATTAAATAAACAGTTTGTTTCTTCTGCAACAATTACACTGTCTTTGCAACAGAATTTTTTGCTAATGGCCAATTTTCAGTTATTTGATGAAATCGCTTGGTTTTCTTATCATTCAAACTGAATTATCAACACCAATACAAGAGATAATATATTATAAACAGTTTTAAGCTACATCTAAGAATGTTTGACTTATGCATTGAATTTTATTTTGGGTGCCCTAAACTTGAGAAGAAATATCCTAGCTCTGTTGCAAGACAGTGTTATTAAAGTACAAAAAGGCAGTTTTAATTCCAAAAAGGATACAATAAAAAATATGAATGAATCTTTTATAAAAAGTAGTATTACCTTGAAGACATTTTTACATTTGAAATAAAATAAAAAATATTAATTATAAAACTACCAAAAAATCATTGTATTTTGTTTTAGCCAAAAAATTTCATAAGATAATTCAGAAAATATTTAGTATTATACCTTCTAAAGATAATTTAAAAATAATGCAACTTCATTAAATATTATTTACCCCAAATTCCTGTCTGGCATATGAAGCAGCCACTGTAAAAGTTTTCAATAAAGATCTTCCAAAAATTTGGTTGTCTGTGACCTCTTCTTCAAATAAATTACCAACTATTTCATCATCATAATGCACGAATAATGTGTGGGGATGATGTTTTGAAACACTATTACTAATAGCTAAAACCAGTTTATCACAATAACAAGAATATTCTTAAAGCAATAAACTTACGATAAATATCCTGAAGCTTATAGACATTTTCTTCATTCAATGTTATTGTTTCTTTTAAGGGGGCAATATCAGGTAAATCTATGCCATCCAAGGAATTTTTTGAGACTGCATTTAAGGGTTTTTTACTTGTTAATAAGGAATCTCCTTTTAGTTGAAACTGAATTAAGTTTCCATTTTTTTCAAAGGGAAAGGAGAAGAATAAGTCATTAAATAAGTATCTATCATTAACAATGCTTTCATCTGAATTGTTTTCTATTAGTTGTATCAATTTTGAGACCAATTGTTTACTAAAAATTATGATTTTTTTTAAATATAATTTTTTATTAAAAAGAGGACTTACTTCCTTCTTTCCTGAGTTACACCATACACCCTGGGAAAATTCCATGCAGGCCTCTCAGGGTCTTTAAGTTTAGGCAATTTTTTTTGTTCAGCATCCAAGACATGTGAGTTTAATGTGATATTTCTTACAGACTTATGTAATTCTTTTGATATTTCAGTTGCACTTTTATTTGGCAAACCATTCTCAATCTCTATGGTTTTAGTGATTAATTTGGCCTGTGTTAAACCTTCTAATAACACATTATTGTCTTTGTAAGTTAATAAAAGGCGATCATTCCAATCGGGATGAGTATAATCCAATTCTTGTTTTTTAATACCATAACCAATTACATTATATCTAAAATTATATATCAAAGACATACTAAATGATATATATTAAACGAAAAAACTTACGTTTCTTTAACCCGTTTCTCCCTTAAAATATCATCTGGTTTAACCACCTCAATACCTTTTTGAGTTAAAATAGCCTCAGCCCCTGTTTCTATAGGTTTTTTTTTGCCTTGCACTTGCCAGTGCTTTGTAAAATGCCAACCGATATGTTGTTTACGAAGAATTGGCGTTAGTTTCATTGTTATTTATTTATTTTTGTTCAAAAATTGGTTAAATGGTTCAAAGTTGTGCAACATTTAACCTAACCTCAATTTGCATGAGAATATTTGGAGGTTAAAATTTTGACAGTTCTCTGGGAAATTTTTTTGGGATACGAGGGTAAGTAAAATAGTCTATTTTAGTTTAAAAAATGTCTCTTTAGGTTAAAAAAATGACAAAATTACAAAGTAAATGATGGGAAATATTCTTGTAACTTTAAAATTTACATTTTAAAATGGTAAATATTTATAACTACGTTGATGAAATAATTAGATTGTTGTACAACTTGTTGATTTGTGCCCGTATGTAATCGGTTCGTTTTCATTTTTAAATTTGCATTTATTGTAATTCTGTGATTATTAACAGTACCCTATTGTCCCAAATTTAAAAAAGATTGTCCGTTATCTTGCATTTAAAGTAACTATATAACTAAAAATAAATAAAATTTTAACACACTTTTTTTAGGGCGCAAAAATGTTTACATCCTTAGTAAGAAATACAATAAAACGTTCTTTTCATAAGAGTTTATTTTGTGGGGCAGTGGTTGACCCAAAACAAGAAGCAGCTTTGGATGAAGAATGTTTTCTAGTTAATATGGACGATAAAGTGATCGGCAGGGCCAGTAAAAGGGAGTGCCATTTAGTTAAGGGTGACCAAATTCCTTTACACAGGGCGTTTAGTGTGTTTTTGTTTAACAAAAATGGGCATTTGGTGTTGCAGAAAAGATCCACAGAAAAAGTATTTCAATTGCATAAATATTTGTTCTATTGATATCATAATTTTAACTATTTTAGATAACTTATCCCGATTGTTACACAAATTCTTGCTGCAGCCATCCTATAGGAAATGTAGCAGGAGAAGATGAAGAAAATGAAGCCTTGGGCATTAAAAGGGCAGCTATTCGTAGATTAAACTATGAACTAGGTATACCAATAAAACAAATGCCCATTGAAAAACTTCAATACATTACTCGAGTCTACTACAAAGATTGTGGTAATGGTAAATGGGGTGAACATGAGATTGACTATGTTTTATTTCTACAAGGGGATATGAAAATTAAACCTAATCCTAATGAAGTTTCGGAGATCAGTTATATCCCTCGTAACGACATAGATTCTTTTATACCAACATTAAATAGCAACTTAACCCCATGGTTTGCCTTAATTTTAAAGCACAGGCTTAAACTATGGTGGGATAATTTGAATAATTTGAAGGAAGTTGTAGATCATAAAAATATTTTAAAATTGACTGATGGCCCATGTTAAATCTGAATTTTTTGTTATTTATTTAAGTAAAATATATACCTAATTTATTATGTATGCTAAAGTATTATTTATTTTTATGTTTTTGAAGGCATTAATATTTAAAATTGAGTGAAAACACTTTGTTAAAAGTATTTTTATAATGGTATCTACTAATAAAAGTTTAAAAATAATTTTGTTTGTTTTATTTTTGTTATCTATGTATATTTGTTTTAATATAATTCCACAATTGTGTATAATTCTGCATTTTTCATTTATTGGAAGAAAAAAATACAAATTGAATAAAAATGTAGGTAGATAAATGTTGTTTTCATTTGAAACTTAATTTTTATACAAATTCCCAGGAATAGAGAAGTCACAGCGATTTTTGCTTTTGACAGGTTTTCAGTTTTTTTAATAATTTTAATAATATTTTGTTTCATTCGCGGTCGGTTATCTTTTTTATTTGAAGAGCTTATGAACTCTTCAAATAAAAAAGATATTAATTAATGTTTACATAGAAGGATAGGTACTTGGTGCACAGCTGTGTATTATTATCCCAAATTTAAAATTTTAGGTAGGTATAACAGGTAGGTATTAAAATTTCAAAATTTAAATAAATATACAACAATTACCTACATAATTAATACATTAAGTAATCTCATTTGTAAAAAAATAAATACCCCATTAAAGATTTTTTAAATGTTAATGTTCTATGATCATATTCGAATAATTATAATGTAGATACAAGAAGTTTCCATTAAATTAATCAATTGATTGAATTTTTTAAATCCACGCATCTAATTTATTGAACATGCGCATTTTGTTTACATACTTGAATACAAATTTAGTTTATACCCTGAATCATTCAGGCTGAATGCAGGAAATTGAGTCCTTTGTTTACTATGTTTTTAATTACCAGTGTTTTAATTTTTATTTTGATTGGTAAGTGAATCAATAATAATAGAGGAAAGGTGCCTAATTTCGGATACATTTTTAAAAAAAATAGAAAAAAATACTTTTTGTATGCTTCACCTTCTGGCAAGTACTCAATGCATTGCAATGCACTATAAAGAAACAAAGTTTAATATTAAAACATGTTTATTTTATTAAGTTTTAACAAGAAAGGAGCTTTTTGCATTTGGTGCAATTTTTTCGAAATTTAAAATGGGCTCCCAATTTCGGACACCCTATCCAAAATTAAGACACCAGTTTTATTCCAAGAAAAAGTCACATATATATTTCTTTTTTTATCGGTATTAGCGCATAGTTTATGACACCACTTAAAACATTTATTACATGTTATCCATTCCTCCCCTTGTCCATCCTCAGAATACAAACCCATACAAAATATGCATTCTGCCTCCTCTTCATCATTCGGATCCATATCGGAGTCGTCGTCTAGAATAAGACTAGTTTCAGAATCTGATGATTCGGATATCCGAAATTGAGAAACTAGAACTATCCGAAATTAGGCAACTTTATACGTTTTAGGTTAAGGTCTTTTTAAATAAAAACCTTTAAATATTTTGTAGTTTTGACTAAAAAAAGGGCTTGAATAAACACTTACCTTGTCTCTGAAAAATACAGAAATTTTTAAAATGAATATTTCCAAGAAAAACACGGCTTAAGCAGTGATTACTAAAAAAACTACGAAACGTGGTTCAGATGTTTGCCACTGCCATCTAACGGAGAGTAATAGTAGCAAGTAAATAATTCGTGATATACTTTCTTCGACTACATAGATGGCACTAGGGTCAATTTCCATTTATTCCTTCAGTTAGTTTCTCAGATACACCACTATCCGAAATTAGGCGACTATCCGAAATAAGGCGACTTTCCTCTACTTTAGTACCTACATATTATCTATATGATAATTATGTAGATATATGTAGAAATTAGCATATAAAAATTATTAAGTATATTAAGGCACATGTGCCAGCGAATTTTAAAAAAGGTAAATCCATTTACGGTCTTTAAAATTCGCTATTTTTTGCTAAAAAATTATGCAAGTAGGTAGCATGCATTTTTTTCTAAAGTAATAAAACCCAATTATTGTTCATATTTTTTATTTTCAACTTTAGATATTTAGTTTTTGCGCATCCGTCATTTTACAATAAATTAAAAAAAAAATGTATGTTTGTTTTTAAAATTGATAAGTACCTAAGTACTTAAATAAATAATATAAATTTTATATTATTACAAATTGATTTTATATTATAAAATCAATTTGTAGGGTGCGTGTTTCAGATAATTTTTACATCAAAGAAAATTAGGTTTATCAAGCGTGACAATTTTATTAAAGTATCTATATAAATAACTACCCTAATAGGTACCTACACCTAAAAACCTAATTTTTATATTTGATTAATTTTATATAAAATAACTAATTTAAAATATTTTTTGCCATACCTTCAACAGTATACTGTTATATATATGGGTGATTCTACAAAAGTTGGGCAACTTTTTGTTTATATAGTTTTCGGAGAAAATTAAACAGTATTTTGTTACAAGAACATAGATAATATAAGAAATATACCTACTGTTCCAGACCACGCCAGTCACTTTTTCAAACAGTTTCTGAAATATCTGTGTTTTCTAAATTTCAATGCAAGGGAACTTCCCTTAGGGAAGTGACGAGTATACCAGGGTACTAATTATAATTATAATTATTTATAAATACATAATTTATTGGAAAATATAAGATTTATTGCAACTTTGAGCATATTATACATTAAATATCAGTGGCGGCTGGTGGATTTTGGGTATACCGATATCTCAATTATTAGATATGGGACCCACACCAAATTTATACGAGTTTATAACGAAATTAAATAAACAAGTTCTGCGCAAGCAGAATTTAAATTGAACTTTGCGTAAAAAGATAACCGAAACATCGAACATGGAACTGACGACACGGTAGTGATGAATGGGATACAAATTTGAGATTATAATTCGGAATTAAGTATTTTACTGATATTTTTTATTAGTGGATACTAGTTATCAACAAATCACATATAGCCTTATATAAATTACAATGAAATATATATACTTAAGAAAATAACTACTCACCACAGTACTGAAATTTTGACTGGAACTATATACGTGCATTCACCACAACTTCGCCGCTTGCATTGTTTTCAAGATGACTGTCGTGCAAAAGGCGGGCTCTGTAGGTAATTTTTTACCAACACTTGAGTTAAAACGAGGACTTGACGTTTAAACTTTAATATTCCGCAGGAATTTTGAATTTTAACATTGGACACAGAACTGACGGGTAAAAGTGAGTAGGTACGCAGATTATCATTTTTTAAAAATTTCTATTATTCGAATCTATGATAAAATATGAAAAATACAGTATTTATTGTTTTATAGTTTGTAGTGAAATTGAAAAATTTAAGATAAATTGAATACTTACCTATATTTTAAAATAAAATCACTCAAATATTTGATTCAGGAGTTATGACACGCCAAGGTACTGATGTTTTGAATATTTATTATGTTTTTCTACAAACGTGCTTTTGAAAAAATACTTTAAAATTGGGTGGACAAGTTAAAAAAACCTGGATTTTGTATAGGTATACCTACTAAAATATTTATAAAAAATATTAAAATAACTTCTCTATTGACTGATGACATACCCATGATACAATTTTTGTTGGTTGTATCATCATTGAGTAAGATGTTCCTTAGTCAATGGTATCATGCTACATACCTACCTTTTTTTTAGAGTTAACTTCAGTTCACGCAATCCAAATAAATTATATTAAAGTCCCTGCTGCCGTCAAAAATAACACAAATCACCCAATTATAATGGATTGCAATTATTCAATTCGTCCAGATGATACGGAACTAGTTGTGAAATGGTACCTCAACAATGAAGTAGTTTACCAGTGGATACCACCTCAAAATCCGCAAAGTTTGGGTAAAATACTTAAATCTTTATAAAGATTGTTCAAAACATGAAAAATGCCGAAAATTAATCAATTTTTATTTTTGTATGTCGTTTAACAAAATGAAAAATGACACAGGAAAATTAAATTCATCCTGAGCTATTTCAGTGTTGAATAAACTATAATATAGTTTCATATTTCATAAACTATAATATAGTTTTATAAAACCTTAAGGGGTCTTACTAAATCTATACAAAAGATTTTTTAAGGTGTTTTAAAAAATAAAGTGGATCTTTCATAAAAAGCTTCCGATGACGCAAAAGCAGTATACAGAGCGGTGAAAATAAACAATCCAACTATTGAGATGTCAGGGGAGTACAAATGTTTTGTTTCGACTTTTGCCGATGAGGATTTCAGTATTAAAAATATGGTAGTTTTTGGTAAAATAATAATATTTTTGTTGTAAATATTGTTTGATTATTTTTGTTTCTTTTAGAACCTGAACAAACCCTAGTTGTGGAAAAAGAAGGATCCAGCGAAACCCATGTAAATTTTACATGTTACGCCTCTGATGTTTATCCCACCCCGAAATTGCTTATGTATAAGGACAACAGGGATGATTTTTATAATAAGTAATATAAAATGTTAATTATTATACCCACTTCCAATTAGTTACAACGATTTTTAAAATTTTATTTTGTTTTGATTTTCAGTCCTATAATATTATTTAATAAAATTATATGATTTTCATTTTTACCTTGTTTTACGAATTTTACAAATTATTTTTCTTTGGACTTGCCCATTGTATTTATAAATATTTTTTTTATTTATATTTTATGTTATTTTTTTGTAAACCGTTGACGATTTTTTATACATTTTTGAAGCATATCCAATAAAAAGAAAATGATTTTAAAATTTCGGATGAAAATGGCCAATTTAAAATTAAATTTTTCTCATAACAGTTTTTTGTGTTTTCAAAAATATACCAATATACCAATTGTAATGTAGGACCTGTACATTTTTTTTTTAAATTAAATTTGTATAAACATGTTTTATTTGTTGTTTTTCTGGTTGTAATAATATTTCTGTTTTTAAATTAATTGAAATTCATGGATCCAAGATGTTATAATCCCTACTTTCAGTATTAGCTGTTTTAGCGGAGCTAACCCAGAACTAGTATTGTATGAGAAATTATAAAAAGCGCATGCCTAGAATATCTGAACTAGACTAGTTCAACTAGTTCGGGATTAGAATCCC